GAGAGAGAGAGAGAGAGAGGGGGGGGGGGGGTTCGTCCTAACTTTATGATAATGTTTTAAACTTTGGTGATTCATAATCCTAATCATCTATTCTATTGGGGAATTGGTCAGGACGCTCATCTAATATTTTCTCAGGCCCTCCCCCCTCTCCCATTCCTTGTTTCTGTTTTATTTTATTAAGTTTTAAATATATTTTCTTGATCACTTGTTTGGATCTATCTAGACTGGTCCGGATAACAGATGCAACGATCTAACATGAATCTATCCTGTGAACAAGCCACCCCTCCGATCCATTGTTTAAGATATTTAGCGATTGTCGAAACATCCTGTGTAATCCACATCTAGGAGTAACTATATAGTTACAGAATTGAAAACACTAGCCGTTCATGTAATAGCCCCACATAGGTAAGGGCACTAATTCGACAATGAGAGTGAGAACATGAACTGGTTTTTATAATGTGTAACATTATTGCCTATTGTCCTCTAATGCATGGATCATGGAGTACAATAATTAATAAGGGCATGAGCTCCCTTTTGAGTTGTTCTAAGGCCATCTTTTTATAAAAGATGCCCTAGCTATGCTAGCTTTATACAAAAGATGAATATGTCTTCATCATCACACGGCCAATAAATTCAAAAAGAAATAATTGATCTTATTTTGTTTTCTTTATTGTACTTTCATGAAGAACATATCTCTTTCTTGCATTCTTGTCTTATTTGGACTTTACTTGCCTTGCTTCTAAAGAATATTTGAAAAGATGGCCCCATCGGTTTTATATGTCACTGAATTGAGGTGCATGACCAAGATTGAGGCATTATGAGAAAACAAAATACTAATCATTACCATATTTAGTGGATTACAAGCTGCGAGGAAACTTAGTATGTAAAAAAGTGAAGCTGCACTATGAAGCTCGGCTCAAAAATGCAGCTTAGTGCTAGAAATCTTTGTCATAGCTAGAAATCTTGTTGTTGTCCTTGACTAGAAATTTGAAGGACCTGACGAATTATTGGATAGGTAAAAATAAATTGGGTAGATAATGTGTTACAAGATACAATATTTTGCGAGCTTGAATTCTTTTTTGTTTTTTTTCAAATCCTTAATTGTCAAAATCAAGATGATCAAATTGATACTTTTCCAGTATCAATACTGCATTTTCAGGTAGAGTTTTGAGGAGTGATTTTATTTTTTTATCATAAACCCATGGCCCCACATATCATCATCATTGAAGCCTTTTCCCAACTAATTGGGGTCAATTATATAAACCCTTGATCCACTGTTATGCTCTATTAAGAGCCATACGCTTAGTGAGGTCACAAGTCCTTATATCTTTTCTCACTACTTTCAACCATATCATTTTGGACTTACCTCTTGGCCTTTCTTAGCATTCCATTCGAACGAACTTACACCTCCTAACAGGTGTCGTAACTTGGTATGTGCCACACATGACCAACCCACCTAAGTCTATTTTCTTTCATATTATCGTCTATTGGTGTCAGACCTAAATTCTCCTAAATATATTTATTTTGAATTTTATTTCTTCTTGTCCTTCCATTCATTCGTCTCAACATCCTTATATTAGCTACACTCTTTCTCTGATATGTTGTTTCTTGACCACTTAACATTCTGCCCCAAAAAATAAAGCTGGCCTCACATCTGTTTTACAGAACTTACCCTTCAGCTTCATTCATATGCGGCGCTCACAAAAAATTTCAGTTGCATATCTTCACTTCGCCTACCCTACTCTAATTTTATATGCTACATCTTCCTCAATCTCTCCATTTTCTTGGATTATCGACCCAAGATATGGAGAGTGTGTTCACCATAACCACTTCCAAATTTAGTTCCCCAACATACTTGAGGGGATGATTTTTGCATACTTGATATATATGGTTAAGCTCGAATTACCTTAACAAATATATAGGCATATTGATATGTTTATTACTTCAGATATAAGAGGATTACAAAGATTAGTAACCATATACAAAAATGGATCCAATGGAACTCATGGCGCCACAAGTTTAGGATTGTGCTTCTTCTTCTTCTCCTTCTTCGTATTTATTTATTTAGTTTATCCAACATATTGGTATTCGTTTTGCATGCAGGCAATTCAGTAAAAGGTTTATGAACTAATATTCAAATCATTTGAAGAAGCTTGTAATTTAGCACATAAATAATTCAATAATTGTTTTCCTCATCCTTTTTAATCCCTAGGCCATGGGGTGTGAACCCACAACTTCAAGGTTGCAAAAGTCCTGATTGGCTTGCTCAAAAGTCAAAGCTAAAAATATGTGTTTTTTTCTCCAATAGCTCCAAGATTTACCAACAGAATGAAATTTGCAATCTTTTTGTTTCGTGAATCTTGAATTTACGTTATCTGCTTGATCTTTTTTTGTTCATAATATTTAGAGCGAGCTAGCCATACTGATTTCATGGTCGTTCAATACGATATATGGGTTGTGTACGTGTCTCTTCCATTGATGGATGTTAATATTTTAGATGAGGTTCCATAAAGTGGTTATCTTATCAATTTTGTGAAAAATAGTTTAAAATATCATAAAATAATATTGAGGGTCGAAATTCACTCTCCCAAATTTCAGAAAAAAAAAAAAATCTCTCAACATCAACTTACTTATGGATCTGACAGTCAAACAAAGGTGCATGAAGAAATATGTTTTATAAAGTGATCATGTGCAAATTAGTAGAATGATGGAATAGATCATTGGTCATGCACAGTCCTTAGGTTGGTTAGATTATGAATGCATGCCTTTGCAATATATTTATGTAACCAATTCTATACTATAAGACCATCTAGCTTTAGCAATGAGGTCACAACACCCTTGGCCATGGGATGTTAAATATGATAGCTTGGGGTGTGTAATAAAGTGAGAATTTTATTTTTTGGATTTTGCGCCTGGTCAAATTCACACCAATATAGCTTTATTTCAAATTTAAGTGCTTAGAATGATTGTGACATTTTTGTGCTAAATGTAAATAATTTTATTAGGTACTTTCCCTTTACGTAAAGACACCTTTGAAGCTACAAAAAGACTAGGGCCCATATGGACCGCTTGACAACTCCATGAAAGAAGGGATTTAGATGGAGGGGAAAAGTAGCCTTGTTCCCAAAATTTGGTCCCCCCAAATAGGGCCTAATCTTATTGTCAACTTCTAATTTAATCGAGCAATTTCCATATTCATGTTATCCTATTCTCATCAGGAAGAGTGAGAAAGCATTCGTGCTTGTATTTGT